TGTATGCTGGCCGTGAAAGCCTTCGACAATATATTATGCTATGTTTATGATACACCATATATTTATTCTACTGCTTCTAAAATGAACCTATCCCTCCTTTTGCTACTGTGTGTCATATTTAATTTTTTAGCTGTTACCAGAATTAATTTGATTTTCTGCTTCACCTCATTGCCTGGTTCTGATCATTAAGTTAATCAGTAGCACAGTACGTATCATTTTTATCTGATGAATGGTCAAGGTGTTTAATCTTTCAATTGTTGATAATCAGATTTGTAATCTTTCAGTTGTTGGTAAGTCAGTGGACCCAAATTATTTTAAAGGTTTCTCTTTAGAACCCTACTAAAAAGAATGGTCATTTCCATATGACACAGAGATAACAGAACTATTGAGTTGGTGTAAATGTGTGCTTATTTTGCTATCCCTGCATGGGTCAGGAAGTGAATGTGTCCATAGATATCAAAACATATCAGGCCTCTCCTCACACTGTTTTACAGGCCGAAGTGCTTTCTTACGAATCACATGAAAGCAGTTTATCTCCAGAGCCAATGTGCAACCCAGCTGCTTCCTCATTTTTGGAACCCTTACTCTTTCTCCAATAAGATGCATACAAGAATAAAATCCCAGTCAGCATTTTCACCAGGAGCAGTGTCTTGTGGGAGAGAACCCTTTTTAAAACACATTTTTAAAGGCAAAGGGACATTTAACACGAGCCTATAGGCTACCTTCTGTCTGAGTTGCAGCAATCTCAGCCAGTGATAATGGTGTATAATACTGGAGAAGCCACTGGCTCTCATCAGATTTGAAAATACTGAGAAACAGCACAGCTAATTTTGGAAGCATTCAAATCCATTTCCCTCCCTCCCAGTCTCTTCACTGGATAGTTAAGGATCCTCTCAATCAGTGACAATATTGCAATGCCATAAGAGATAAATGGGCTACATCCACAGAAATTGTTAGTATGACGTGGAAGCCTGTCCTGTAGAAAATTCCTTGGGATAAGAGCAAGGCAGCTGAGTTTTTTCGCAGCAGATTCAGCCTCTTTATTCAGTGATTCAATTTAATAAGGTAACATTGCTCTTTAGATTGAATTGGGACTGCTGTGGAGGACCTTGGAACAAGAACCTTCTCCATGTGGAATGGGCTTGTTTCCTTACTGTTGTCATGGGAGTATCTCCTTAATTCTCCCATTCATCAGAATGGACCAAACATTAACATACTGTTCCCAGCATAAAACTGGTGGGATTTTTTTTTTTCTTTGAGACCATTATGATATGCTCATGAAGACTGTAGGTCTAATCTCCTCCCATCTGAAAGAATGTCACTAGTGCTAGGAAAGAGTAGGTGAAATATTAAACTAGTCACATGATTGAATGGGTTTCCTACAGGTTCCAGGGTACTGTTGCTTTCTACTTTTCCCCTATATTATAAATCAAGTAATTGAATTGAAATGGAATGGAATGGAATGGAATGGAATAGAAAAATAAAACTTGTTTTAAGTCATTCACTTCAGAAGACATGCACCAAAGTTGTGGTCCATTTAAGCTGCGGTCCTATATACTCTACTCTGAAATAAATCTCATATTGGGACCTATTTTTAAGAATACAAATATAATTTCACTTTTAACTTCCATGCTTCTGAAATCAGTGAAGGTACTTGCACAGTAAAAGCATACCCCAAAGAGTCTTTTAGAATGTATACTGAAAGAACAGGGAGCTCAGACTGTGATTATTGGTGCACGTATATAAATGTATATCAGCACAAGAGTGTCTCTACTCTAATTCATAAACAACGGAGAGTGTATTTTATTGGGAGAATAGATGCACCATGCACTTAAAGAAAGTTGTCACAAAGAAAGGCCAAGGCCTTCTTTCTTCTATTATCTGATTTATGTAAGAAAGCATTTTCATCAACTTCTCTATTGTTAACATTAAACCTTTAGTTTGGTGCTGAAATGGGTTCTCTACAGCCTATTTACACCTGTTGTTATTTTTAAAAAGAACCTCTGTATCATCCAGCTAGCAGAAAGATGACAAAGACTGCAATCTTGTATGCATGGGAATGAGTCTCATTAATCTCAGAGGAGCTTATTTCTGAGCATACTACTTACAGTATTTCTTATATAGAATTGTGCTACTATTTATAGCTCAGGAATGAAGTGTAATTAGATGATTGAATAAGAGATAGTTCTTAAAACTCTTTGTATGACTGTGTAAACTGGATGGAAATTTGATGTCTTGGCTTACTGATAAGTTATGGTTGTTCATACTGAACCATATATAGTCTTTATGCAAAAACTTTAAGTTTGATTGGATGATTTCAGCTTTATAATGGACATTCTGGTTTGCTTCTTTCTTAGTGATTTGCAATTTGCTGTTTTAGATCAGACCTCTTGAACACAGCCTAAGATATGGTGTATTTGAGAGTATGCCTATTGGAAATGATAACATGATTGAGAACACCAAGAAGCCCCTGTGGGGGATAATATCTATTCTGTAAAACATTTTCCATTGATTCTAGTAAAATGGCAATAGAGCAAAAGTTTAATAAAAATTTCCATAATTACTGTTGAATGTTAATTTCAGGTACATTGCCAAATATTTACATCTCTCCTATGGTTTTTTATGGAAGAAAGTGTATTTTTCAAAGAAAACAGTAAATTGCACCAAAGCATTTCCCCCTTTTTACTGGTGATCTGGTAGACAGTGTAATAATACGTGTATTAATTCTTTCTGAACAGTGTTTATGGCTGTCCTTTGGCAAAAAAAAGAAAAACCCAAGAGAAGCAACCCCAAGAACCTGCTCCTAAAAGAAAACCATTTGTGGTTAAAACAGACAACTCTTCAGTAGATGAATGTTATGAAACAGATGGAACTGAAGAAATGGATGATAAAGAAGAGGAGGAGGAGGAAGAAGAAGAGGAGGAGGAGGAGGAAGAAGAGGACTATTCTGATGATAATGAAGAACAAGTTGATGAGGAGGAGGAGGATGAAGAAGTAGATAGGGAGGAAGAAGAGGAGGAGGAGGAAGAGGAGGAGGAAGAAGAAGCAGATGAAGTTGAGGAGGAGGAAGAGGAAGAAGAGGAAGAAGAGGAAGAAGAAGAAGAAGAAAGTGGTAATGAACAGAGTATTAATAAAAAGTAAACATTTCATGTACATTTTGTGTTAATCTTCCAGTATGGAACGGTGGGATTTAACAGTGTAGCTTTCATTAAGGTTAATAGAACTCATTGTGCTTAATCTCTCTGCTCCATGCTGACAACCATAATCACTGTGTTCTCTTAATAATAACCTCAGACTACTGTCTTAGAAATAACTCTTGACTCAGCTAGTGGATCAGCTTTCAAAATGAGTAACTTAGTGATGAGTAGCTAGGTGTGCCAAAAATTCCTGCAGAGATGTATGACTATGCTGATGTCTGTAGTTATCCATTCAAGAAGAGTAATCAAAGATATGTGGAAACAAATGATTACATATGGACATATCTATATTCATTATTTACACAGACAACTATTTGCTACAGTTGTCTTCTGTATAGCAATTGCTTGCTTCTCATAAGTATATGTTCACATATCTGCAGGTGCACTTGGCATTGCAATATGAAAATCTTCCCTTTGGAAAATTTGAACGTACACCTTTGTTTAGACAAGGAACAAATTATGTATACTTTGGTTCTTTGAGACTTGGATGTTGTGTACTTTAGCTGACTTATAAAAATGATGGAGATTGATATACATAGAAACCCTATTTTAAAACTTTTTATGTATACACTCAGTGACAAATTAACAGACATTCATTAGCTGTTAAGCTAATATATTGCCACTGCAATTAAGCCAGGGGCTTTTAAAAATGTTTTTAATGTTATTATGGATTCTAAAGATAACTGGTGTTTTCAAACTGTGCAAACACTGGTTTCTGACTGTTTAACTTAAGAGACCCTACAATAACTAGATCATGAGATAATGCCATGAAAATTAACATATATGCAAAAATTAATGAGCTATCTAAAAAATATTTTGTTCCCATTTCCAGGGAACACGTTTTTGGTTGGGTAGATTCACCTTTCTAACCAATAAAAATATAAGAAAAGTTTCAGCACTCCTCAGTCGGATTCCTCTTAGGAGCCAGGTATGAAAGTTGTCTGATTTTTGTTTTTGTAGAATTATATTAGGTAAGAACTAGAAAAAGACAGAAGTGCTTCATTAGAATAAAAACAAAACTCATTTACTTCCTTCTCCAAATTCTGAAAAAAAAGAATAATCAAACTTTTTGCAAAACAGTGAGAAAGGGATATTTTATACTCTGTTAATTTAGAGTGTATGAAAAGGAGGAATGTCTTTAATCATTTATCAAATTTTAAAAGGTTAATTGTACAAATAGGATAATTTCTAAACACAGCTATTTTTCAATAATTTGGGGCTATGCATACTTATCTATAAGTAAAGCCACTCGATTGCAATGAAGTTCACTTCTGAGTAGACATGCATGTGATTAGACTGGTACGAAAGTGCAATACAAACATTCACTTGCATACAGATAAACTTAACTACTTTGGGCATGCTACAGAGCTCTGGTCTCAAGTCTCTCCATGCTTGATTCTCTTTTGTATATTCATGAATTCAACAGAAAGGTTTTTGTTTTTGTTTTAATCTGTAAATAAATGTCACTAAAGACACTTGAGGAATCCCAGAGAGCAGAAACCAGCCTATGGCATTGTCCACTGGACCTGCATACAGCACCTCTTCCAGATGTACAATACAATACAATACAATACAAATACTTTAATGACCAAGTATAAAATATACACAAGGAATTTGTCTTCGGTGACGATTCTACGGTACTTGTAGAACATCAGGCACTTGGGAATATTTGGAGGAAATTAGCTTAAGTGTGCATCTCTGCCCATCAGAGATTAGCTCTATTTTTTCTACAGGCAAATAAATGCCTGCATAGGACTCCAGCAGAAAAGAAACCTATACTATCAAATACAGTATGAGAATCAAGAATTTAAATTACAGAGATTTTGTGTAATAAAGTTATTATTAATAATATATAACGAATATCTTACTTTTACTAATTCACTGCCGCACAGTGAAGTGACCTGAATCAATAACAAAGAGTTGTTATTGCTTTATGAGTAATTCTTTTGTGCATAGTTGACTCCTGCTAGAAACAGGAAATAGAATGTATAATGATTAAAAAGTGGTTGTATTAATTAGTTATAAGCAGTAACAAACAGGGCCCCGAATATTGAGGGAAGTGCTTTAAAGAAAAAGAACTTTATTAGTAATAGTTGCTAATAGTTTTTCCTTACTGTGTTTATGCTCCAAATAGCTATAGTTAGAAAATACAGTAGCTTATTATTCAGAATGGTATTCCAAGATGGATAAATGACTAAAGTACAAACTTCCTTTTCTTTAACTTTATTTTCTTATATAAAATAATAATTTTATATAAGATATGAATAAGCTCATGAGAAGTGCAATTAGGTACGTTATAGTTTGTTTTGTATTTTTCTGCCAAATCTGACAGTTTATGTAATTATAAGAATGCAGGTTGTGGGATCACATAGACTCATTTCCACCACTGCCTGGCTATAGGTCTTAATCGTAGGTAAGGCTTTTGTTGACATTGGCCTTTACCTCTAGCCACAATTCTCTCTTAAACAGGATTCAAAATAGTATTCAAAGCTAATTAGTGAAATTTGTTTAATATTAATAAGCAATATGATAAGGCAGAGAGGAAAAGAGGCAAAGGAATGTTCCCATTTGTAAATCAGCTTTTCCTAAACTGGTGCCCTTCAGATGTGCTTAACTAAAACTTTTGTGATTGGAATTAACGTCCAGCAGAGCTATAAACACTGCCTCATAGTTTGGGGAAGATTGTTCTAAATGCAGTGGCTGAGATTATTATATCTGAATCAAACTGAGACATCAATGTTTATAATACAAATATCTTGAAATCCCTTAAGGTAAATATTTTGGGTAATGCTTTAAAAGTTACCATTCATTTGCAAACGTTTCTTTCGAGATCCCTGTAGAATCAGAATAATGAACAAACACACATACTTCATAAAGTAACAGGGTTGTTTTGCATAAGATAAGATTAGAACCAAATAAGGACTACCATTATTTTGAAAACTACCTCTGTGTGTGTGTGTGTGTGTGTGTGTGCGCGCACGCGCAAGCCTTTCTGCATGCTTACTGAGGCTTGCCTTCTTCTGATTTTCTCTGCAGCTTTTCCTGCTGCATGTAAGGCTATTGTAGAAAGGCCTCTTCAAATCGGGGGAACAGTCTTTTAGGGCACAGAGTGCAAGTTATGGAGGGCCTTCAGACATTGCAGAGAATGACTGTAACTCAGAACACCGATATTTGGAAATGCATTTTATGTCATTTTCTAGGTGAAGATTGAATCTAATTTCTATGGATTTTCCATCAGGGCATATGAATTTTCATTAGATCTCTCAGAATTTTTTTGGACAACTCCTGATGACAATGTATAAGATATGTATTTTAGAGGAAGTATAGCCCTTATGAAAATTCCACTCCTAATCTTTGATTAAATATACAAAGCATACTAAAGCAACACTCTTACAAATCTCAAAATACCAATTAAAGAGAACCAAATACGTTTAGGGGCAGATCTTAGATCTATACCTCAGGAAATAAAGATTGTGTCCCCCCTCCCACAAACCCTTTCAACCTTTAAAAAATCCCTTTGGGTCCTGTTAAATATATTGAATATATTTGATGCAATATATTCACTTTATTATATCAATAGAATACATTGAAGAGATAGATTCGAGATAGAGTATGATATATATAAAATTCAGAGCCAGTGTGGTATAAGGGTTAAGGTACTGGGCTAGAAGCAGGAAGACCCAGGTTCTAGGCTGGCCTTTGGGATGGACTTTGTGCCACTCATCCACACTTAGCTCTAGACTAGGAAGTCAAAAAACATCTATCTACCAATGTGCACCAGATCAAAGTGGTAGATTATAGTCCATAACTTTCAGTGAAAACACCTTCGTTCTGCAGTGGATTGGTTTGGGTTAAAGCCCTAAGTGTTAACTGCTCTGTGTTGGCCATAGAAAAATAATTTTTTCACTTTCTTTCACATCTCCCCCCCAAAATAAAGTAACCTCTCCCATTTGAAATAGCCCATCCTATAAACTTTATGCAACACAGCAACTTAAATCATTGTGTTACAGGCCTTTTTTATGGTGGTTATTGCTTAATAGATATCAGTGTCCCATTTGGTTTGCAGAGCCAGACTGACAGATTTTTCTCCTCCTTCTGAGAGGAATTCACATCACATAGATGGTTCCCAAAGACTGTTTCACAAAGCTTTTCTATTATAGAAAGAAATCTCCGCTGGAGGAGCTCCAGGAACAGATGTTCCAAGGCACCATTTAGCCTTTATCATATGAAGACATTCAAGATGGCTTATGCACCAGGTATTTCACAATCCCTCAGGATTAGGAAGAATCAGGCTGATTCTAGAACTCCCAGGAGAGTTAATACTAATGATGCAAACCCTGATCCACTTATAGCATCATATTATCAAACTATGTTTACAGAAGTGTGAGTGGTTATTGAACCTGGGTTTAGATGGGGAAAAACATTTTTTTATATGTTTTAGACCTCAGTATTTTTCAAATTCTGTTCATTCATTGATTGTCAGAATGATGAAAAGATAAACAAGTTATAAAACTGAACATGAATTTAATATCAAGTTGATATGTTCAATAAGATGGAGAATGTTGTTTTGCCGTATTTTATTCTGACAAATTATAGACATCCCTTCATATTAACAAGGCACATCAATAGAGGCTCTTTAGTGAACCATAATACCATGTTTTCTAGAGATGCAATTTTAACTTTTAATATGAGTCATGCTAAAATGGTTGTAGCCTTTATTTTCATTTTACAATAAGTTGTTGATAACAAAATGATACCGTATGTATTCTACAAAACAGTTCATTCTTACGCTTTTTTAAAGTTACTTTATACTATTATACTTTGCAAGCCCTTTCTGGCTAAAAAAAATGCATATATTTAAAACTCAGAATAAGATTTCCTGATTGCTTAATCACGTGCATTTTTCTTCACAAACTACCTATATTTTGCACAGCAGGGATTCATTATATGCCATCAAGTCTGTGTTGACTCTTAGCAACCACATAGATAGATTTTCTTCAAGAGGATCTGTCCCCAACCTGATCCTTTGGATCTTCCAATGGTGCACCCATCGTCAGCATAACTAAGTCCATCCACCTTGCTGCTGGTCATCCTCTTATTCTCTTTCCTTCCACCTTTCCCAGCTTCACAGACTTCTCCAGAAAACTAGGTCTTCCCATAATGTGTATGAAGTATGATAATTTGAGCCTGGTCATTTGTGCTTTGAGTGAGAACTCTGGGTTGATATGTTTGATGATCCATTTGTCTACTGTATATTTGAAATTGAGAGACAGATTTTCTGACTGCTCAATCACATACATTTTCTTCACAAACCACCTATATTTTGCCCAGTAAGGATAGAACTCCCAGTATATGGACATTTTATAACAATAGGAAAGCCAGGTCCCTATTCAAAACAGTAATTAGAAATATAGGGAAAAAAATTGAAACCAACTTTCATAATGAAACAGAGTAAAATCCTTAAAAGCTTATACCATAATCAGTATGGTAGCTTTAAGAAGCAACAAGACTTCTTTTTACTATAACACACTCTGGAAATACTTGGGTTACACATAATCCCTAGCTTTCCTTCTACCTCTACTAAAGTACTGCCCAGTTTTCTTTCTTCTTCTTTTGCTAATATCATACAGCAGGAATAAGCCATGCAAGAATGCACTTATCCTTAGAATAAGCACCTTGAAAGTGAAAGCTGACTGATTAAAATAAATATTGCGACATGTAGATAAAGCTCCAATGCATTTTTGCTTTCAATGGCAAGCACTTATATGATTCAAGGAATTCATTTTCATGAGCTAGACAAAGTAGCAATGCTCTGCAAAATGTTTAAAAGGGTAACACATAGCTTGGTTAATTAATAGTTATCTTCCAGAGGATTTGCAATGCATACTAAAGCCTATGGTTGGTAGTGCAAACTATAACATCATTTGAGGCTCTCTATATAGTTTTTTAATATCAAAATAGGGAAAAAAATCAATGTCTTCCCTTGTCTTTCTGGATGCTTTTTAAAAGTGGACTTTTAGGAATTACATTCTCTCAGGGCTAGCACCGGATATGATAGGGCTCTTTGGAATAACATTTAGGTTGAGGTTAAGAGTTGGCACCCACAAAAAAGATGGAGGTAAGGCCAAGTTGATTGCAGTCAGTCTAGCAATAACACTAAAAGCATTCATCCCAGAGATTTCCCACTTCCTTTGAAAGTAGTGGTAGTTCAGACCACCTCGTAATAATGGCTAGAGCATGGTCTTTCTGCAAAAATATCTGTCTTGTCAGATAAAGCTGAAGTCCTTAATTTTCAGCATGACTTGGTCTCAGACAGTTGTGGGGGCAGTGAAGTGGAGTGCCATGTGGTGTGGTTGTGTAATGGTACATCAGAAAGGCCTTGGGAGATGGGATGAAGAGATGCTGCCTAGGGAATGATCAGATAAGAGACAGCATAGCCTGCAGCTGCATAGTGGGTGAAACAAGAAGCTCAGAAGGGACCCTCCCTAAGTTCTTGGGCTGTAAAGGTGATGGCAGGAGAATTGTACTTTCAAACTTGCAAGATTCTGTTAATGTAGCTTTACAATAAAGTAGAATTAGTTCATCTGGTCATGTTTCCTGTTTGGTCTACCTGGTAATGCTGAAATCAATCTTGCAAGTCTCATATTCTCTTCCAAGGAGAGGAATTTCAGGAATGGCTTCTGATCTTCAAGGAACTCCGCTATCCACTGAGCATCTGGCAGCAGCGTTGTTGCAACACCAGCCGCAAGTGGATGCATAGATGACCAATTTACAGAATGCCATGATACAACTAACACAACAGCTGGAGAAGAATTTGCCCCAACCCTCAGCAGCCCAACAAATTGTGGCTCAGCCAGTTAGCCACAGTCCTAAGTTCCCATGGGAGCTTGCTGGAGAAGTTTGGAGGGGACCAGGATCATTCAGCATTCAACATGAAATGTCCATGGCAGGCAGGCTGGTGGACTTTCCCATTGATCGCACCAAACTGACTTTTGTGCTGAGCTTGCTGAAGGAAGCAGCAGCTAAGTGGGTAATACCATTCATTGAAGGGAATGATCTGGTGCTGGACAACTATCAGGACTTTGTGTGTAAACTCAAAGGACACTTTGGGGATCACATACAGAGAATCACTGCTAGTCAAGAGATCTGGAAGCTCAACCAGGGACAGAGGAGAGTAAGGTCATATATTTTGGACTTTAAATTACTTGCTGGCGATGTAGGGTAGAATGACTTAGCCCTGGTTGACCAGTTCAGAAAAGGGCTGGCCAAGGACCTAAGAGACGAGCTGGTGAGGCAAGGCAGCCCAAATACCCTGGAACAACTGTATCAGCATTGTGTAATAACAGATGCCCAACTGGAAGAGTTAAGGCAGGGAAGGAATGGTAAGGGGAAAAGAACCTACCCCATACCACCCATCCCAATGGTATCCTCAGAATCCAGCATGGGAGAACTCAAGATCCTTGTCATCAGGAGAGAAGTAAAGAAGAGGAGATCAAGGACTATACTTTTACTGTGGGGCCCCAGGACACATAGCCAGAACCTGGTAAAAGCACCAGTGTCTGACACAGCAACAAGATGGAGAACTTGTAAATCAACAGAGCAGGTAGCCAGGAAGTGCCCACCTCACTTCAAAGCAGCACTCCAGGGAAGCTAGACAGGCCCCCCTCCCAGGAACTCCAAAGGGAGGCCTTCACCATTTGAGGAGAGCTCAGTCAGCCAACAGCAGTTACTTTAGACAGGAATCTAAAGTAACAACATATTCCAATCTCTGGGGCAACCACTAATTTCATAGATATAGAAACAGTACAGAAACTAATGTTGCCTACTGAAGCTCTAGAAAGCCCAATAATAGTCGAGATGATTGATGGACAGCCACTGAGAGCAGGGCCGATTCTGCAGCACACAGCTTCTTTGCAGTTGACAATCAAAGATCACACATAGTTCATAATGCTCTATGTGACTGCCCCCTTGCAAGTGCCCATCATCTTGGGAATAGAGTGGCTTCAGCTGCATGATCCAGATGTAAGTTGGGCGCAAGGGACACTCTCATTCACCTTCCCTAAATGCCAGCGACATTGCTTACAAGCAGTGAAAGCTTACCCCACCTCCCACTCCAATGCAGGACAAGGGAGGATCTGCGCTGCCAGAAAAATATATAGACTTTGCAAATGTGTTTGGGGAGGAAGAGACACCCCACACCAGGCATATGATTACACCATCAATTTGAAGCCAGGAGCCCAAATCCCAGCAAAGAGACAGTATCGTATGTCTACCCGTGAGTTAGCCATTCTTGAGGAATATTTGGATGTCAACATCAAAAAAGGACTCATTCACCCTTTCAACTCACCAGCATTGGCACCCACATTTTTTTGTCCCAAAAAACAAGAAGGAGAAACAGCAGCCACTCTGAAGGGAAAGGAGGGAGCCCCCATGCGTAGTGTTCATGACTACAAAGACCTGAATAAAGTGACAATTAGAGACTGTTATCCACTCCCACTTATCTTGGATCTACTAGACAGGCTACAAAAGGTATGCATCTTTACAAAACTAGACTTGAGAAGTGCTTACAACCTAATCAGAATGAAAGAAGGACACCGAGTATTTAACAGCCCTTGATACAAGATATGGCAAGTTTGAATACAAGTGATGCCTTGCCTGGTTAACTGTGGAGCTGTTTTTTCTAGATTCATGAACAACATATTTTCAGAAATTCTAGACAAGTCCATGGTACTGTACTTAGATGACATATTAGTTTATTCCAAAGATCCCTCCTTGCATGTCACCCATGTCAGAAATGTATTGCAAAAATTATGGGACAACAAGCTCTTTGCCAAACTAGAAAAGTATGCATTTGACCTGCCTCAATTAGACTATTTGGGCTACAGAATCTCCACAGAAGGCATACAGATCCAGCAAAGGTACTGTCTATTTTATCATGGCACCACCACCCCGCCCCCCATAATGTGAAAGATGTGCAACACTTTCTGGGCTTTGCTAACTTCTACAGGAAATTCATTCCTAATTTTGCTGACAGTGTAAAACCACTGTCCCAGCTCCAAGAAAGGGTTGGCAAGATTGGCAATTCTGGTCAATCAAAGAGCAAGCAGCGTTTCAAGAGTTAAAACAACTCTTTGCTTCTCAGCCTCCCCGCTGCCACCCCAATCCCTCCCACCCCTTTGTGGTGCAGACAGACACTTCAGATGCGGTCATAGGAGCAGTCCTGCTCCAGGTGGAAAAGGGGGGGGGGGACAGATTT